ATCTTTTAGGTGTCCAGCCCCTTATCTTTCTAATTTCTGTCTTATATAGATGACACACATATAACATTGTTTCCAAAATAGTTCAGATGCTGTTCCCTGTAACAGAAACGCAGACAGAAAATGCAAGTATGAATGGATGGATTTAATTTAAAAAGTACTTGGAAATTTCATCATATGTGAAAGAAAATCATGGACACTGGTTATCAAACGAAAGTATCCAGAATAATATAGAGCTGGGACCTATTTGGAGCAACATATGCATGCATTTAACTGATGTTGTTTTCCAGGAAAGGCCTTAGACGCTTCGGCAATGCCAGCAAGGCTAAAGGTGCTCGGCTGGCCACCCTGTAGTCTGGACCTGTTGTGCATTTAAAGCACTTGGGGTGTTGCTAAAAAGAAAAGAGCAACTGAAATTCAAAATCAAACAAATAGGGGGAAAATGTTTTGCTTTCAAAACCACAGTAACTGATCTTTTTGATTAGCAGTGTAGATAAAAGTAGATGCAATAGACTCTTTTTTTTGCCACAGACCAGCAGTTTTATTACTTAACTGTATTCAGAGCGATATGTTCTTATATCTTGTAGCTGCTGGCTGGATTGTTTCAACCGTATCCTGATCTCGTCTTGTTTGGTTATACTCGTTTATACTGTAAATTCCACCTTTAGAAAGAAGGGCAGGATGCAGATGTGAGAACATGTCTGGGAAGCACTGCTGTAAACTGGACAGCTGAATTCCACTCCAGCATTCCAGGAGTGTAATTATAACTTAGCATAAATATGGAAGGTAAATGAAACAAATCATTCATTAAATTCCACTATCGTCATATCTTATTGTCCGTGTCGTCCACCCCTTACCCTTTGCATTTTAATTTTTTTCTCCCTTGCTTTTGCTTTACTTTGTCTTTTGTGTAAGTGAGCCCAGGGGCCTCTCTCTCAGTGACACGGGCTCTGCTCCTGTAAAACTAATAATGACTGAGATTTGTGCGGGCTTAGCATTCTTTCTCCCTTTCAGTGCAAGACGCAAAGAATGGGGAGAAAGGTCCGGTGGTAAGGTGGTGGGGTGAGTCGGGGGAAGTGGGGGGTGGGGTTGAGATGAAGGGCGTCCTAGTTTAAGGGGGGGGGATGACGGAGAAAAAGACAGAGAGGCCCCTTTCCCTGAAATACACCACATGCTTTTATTGTGCATGGATCAATGCCACTGAAGTCACTGTGAGTGCTCTGCCAACAAACATTAGCTTGTATTTATTCACACTTGGACACTCATTCAGACAGCTAGGTGTATTTGTGCAATTTCAGACACCTTGCCATATGAATCAGGTGTGTGCTAACTCTGTTGTAATTCAATCTTGGACTGTTAATAGTTAAAAAGCGTGTATGAACTCCAGGCTAGCAGTGAAGTCTTTTTAAACCCCGTGCAAAGAAACGAGATAAAATAAAATAAGTCACAAATGCACGCTGACAAAATGCTGTCAAATTTACATAAAGATCACCAGATGTGCTACAAGATGCAACGAGGGGCCAAGGGGCGGTCTCACACTCACTGCCCTCTCCAACAGTCCTCCCTCCCTCCTTTCACCTCCCCTTCTCTCTTCCAGAGACATGTGCACACGCTGTGCCAGCAGACAGTTTCAGCTCTCGGTAACTGATGCACAGACTGCTGCTGTTTCTCCCTTCCCCTCTTTACTCCCCCTAACAATTCTCCTTCCTTTCCTGTACTGCCTCTATTCATCCCCTCTGTACTTTCCTCTACTTTTTCTCTACTCTGTCATTCTGCCCGTCACTTTTCCTCAGCCGGATATAAAGGCAGGACCTGTTGGAGGGAGAGCGCTTGTGTAATTTCTGGCTGCACTTGAGCACCCAGAGTTGTTGCTTCAGCTGGAAAGGCAACAAACCAGAGGACCTACAAACAGCTACAGGACAAACTCCGAGTAAATCTCTGTAATAAAGAGGAAGAAGGAATACTTCTGAGAAAATAAAGGAGAAGAAGGAGGGGGATGTGCAGAACACAGACCATGCCAGGCTCTTTGCTGGTGCTCCTGTCCCTGTTGGTCCTCTCCACAGGAAGTGATGCCAGAAGAATCAGGAAAAGAGGACTCAACCATAAGGTGGGGCACATAACCTCACCTTTGATTTTTCTACTGTACATACGAGTGTGTGTATTTCTCTGTCTCGGGGTTGTTTAGAGAATCTTGTAAAGTGGAAGTCGGTGAAAGCTCACAGCACTGCAGTACAATGTCTGCTCGGTTACAGGGAGGCACTTTGAGCTGTCAGGGCAGTTTTGTGTCTGAGGTGAGAGGTGTTCGAGTAGGCCTGAGGGCTGTGATTAAAA